TGCTATTTTCGAGGCAGTCCAAAAATGGTGGCATTACTTAATTGGTTCACATTTTCTTATAATCACTGATTAGAGGTCAATCGCATTCCTGTATGACAAGCAGCAGCGAAGGAAAGTGAAAAACGAGAAAATACAGCACTGGAGAATTGAAAAATCTTGCTACAGCTTCGACGTATCATATTGTCGAGATAAAGAAAATGTAGTTGCTGACACTCTCGCGTGTACATCACATCTACATTGACTACCGTGTGCTTAAAGGAACTTCATAATTCTCTATGCCATCCTGGTGTTGTGCGGCTTCTGCATTCTGAGATCCCGAAATTTACCTTATTTCGTCCAAGACGTAAAAAGCACCTTTGCCCAATGTACAGTGTGCTCCGAAGTAAAACCGAAATTTTGCAAACTGCCCACCGGGAACCTTATCAAGGCCACCGCCCCATTTGAGAGATTAAATATGGATTTCAAGAGACCAATACCATCACATACACGTAACAAATATTTACTGACAATAATTGATGAATATTCGCGATTTCCGTGTATCGATATGACAACTACTACCGTTATCAACCACCTCTGTCAATTATTTTCTGTATTTGGTACACCTTCTTATATTCACACCGATCGTGGTTCCTCATTCATGTCAGATGAACTTAAACGTTTCCTTCATGCTAAAGGTATAGTAACTAGCCGAACCACCACATACAACCCTCGAAGTAATATAAAGGTTGAGCGGTTCAACGGTACACTTTAGCGTGCAGTCACCCTAGCCGACAAATCGAGATCTTTATCTTACACTGATTGGGAATTTTTTACCTGATGTTTCTCTTCGTTCCCTTTTGTGTACCGCTGCAAACCAGCCCTCTCATGAACATTTAAGTATAATCGCAAGTCAACATCCGGCGAATCACTGCCAAATGGGTTGATTGTTCGTGGACCGGTTTTAATGAAGTGCCTTCCTCAGGTATCAAAGTACGAACCACTGGTTGACGAGATAGAGCTGATTGAATGTAATCCAAGGTACGCCCACATCAGACTTCCAAACGGCCGAGAAGAAACAGTGTCCATTCATCATCTAGCCCCTCTACCATCATCGCATCCACCAACAGTCCCCGAACCTTCATTCATCGAACCAATATCAAATGATGACAGTTCACACAACCAACCTACAGATGATTTTGTTTCACCTCATATTGCAAACTCTCCCCAGCCTGCGAACAGCCAACAACCTTCACTTTTAGAATAACAACAACGAACTCATCAGTATAACTTAAGAAGCAGAGAGGTCTGACAACATTTTGTTTACCGAGGGGGGGATATCGTGTATCACGCTCTTTATCTATTGCATATCGCTGTATTCGTAACCTTTCTCTTTTATACGTTTCAGCCTATATGCCAGAGTTGTTAGACAAATAAAGCCTTATATCTCGGGCTCTCATGCTTCTCTCTCTCGAGCAACTACCGACTGTTGGCATCTCGTAATCAAAATGTAACAGGCGTATGGTCCGGTAAACCCAGCGTTAGACCCCCATGGATTGTGGTCTCCAAGCTTCCTTCTACTGCTTCGCAGTTCTAATTTTCTAGTCAGCAGCTTTGAATAGGGACCCCTAGGTTCAAATCTTTCTTCAGCCTGAGAAATCGGGAACTAGAATGCTCTCACAACAGGTAGACTTCCCATCTGTTGTAACTCTAATACTAGTTTTGATGCAATTTGTAGTGTTAATAATAAGCATAAGATGTATTTGCATAGAGCAGTTTGGCCGATGGATTCGGACCGCTGATGGTACCTAACCAGATTGAAGCATGCGTACAGAGCTTCCTAGCGTTTCAGTTCGCGCTTTGTTGGTTCTGTACACGACAAACGTTGCCGCATAATCAAATAAAATCCTTCACTAGTCTCACATAAAGCACGCTGCCAAGAGTCAGCCTGAGTCTTTTACTCCACGATTTATGCACGAATGGCAAAGTACGGCATATCTGAATTCGTTAGCTACTTACAAGGGTAGCTGAATTAGCAATTTGTTGGATAGTAGAGAACACACTGTTCGTATACTCCAATCCATTTTGTTTGAGTTTAGCAAATGGTATTGCTTCCCCATCTGTCGGGTGGACTTCATTTCACGTTGATATACTGCTATCACTTTTTCACGTCAGGAAGCCTACTCGCGTCAGTCGGCAAATAAACGTGCCCGAGCTCAGGAACTGGAACGTCATCTCCAGGAAACACAAGATGCCCATTTCGAATTGGCTCAACGAGCACAAGAAGCTCGAAAGCAGGTTTTGAATCGAGTGACGCAAGTATGTTCATTCATTCATGTTTCATCAATTGAATGAATTTTAATAACTCCATTTGGACGCCCTATACCATGTGAATCACGAATCCCTCATATTTGACTCGCTCTCATTTCGCCCCCTATTGTATATAGGTGACATGGTCTGTAAGACATCAGGTCCAAATTTCAGTTTCACTGCTTGAGCGCAAGCACATATACACACAATCCTCCTCCGACCCCTGCACGTACATGTGAATCTATGCACTGATTTCAACGCAGATAGTGGTGATATTTTTTACAGTCATCCAATTGAGCTGTCTAACTACAGTTACTCGTTAGCGGACAGGGATAGCGGTTACATCACAGCGCCCCACAACCCCTAAGATTTAAGACTGACAGCACAATAGTTTGTTTTGCATTCTATTGTTGTGGCCACAATGGCGATAAGTGCCAATACACATATAAGTTATTTTGTTATACTTCCTTTTACTGAGGGTATATAATGGTGCAATTTCCAGGAATGGGGTATTGGCCAGTCGAAGGGATGCCGTACATCAGGCAGAGAACGGGAAAGGTCAGGCGATGGTGATGAGATTCAAACACATTTCCTCTGGGGGATAATTTGAGAACCATTACCGCTTAACCACAGGAGCACATCTACACCAGCAAACCGACCAGTGAAATACCCTGCATGACTACTTGGTGCTAAAGGCTTAGTCATTCCCGATCAAGATTACTCATCATCAGACAGGTTGTCGATTGATCATGGTATTGAACTGTCTCACGAACTGGGACCAAGGACTGTTTTATTTGATTGGAACAGGAAGTAAACCTTTGAAATAGAGTGGACAACCTTAGTCTGATAGATACATTTTCGCCACATTTTTTGTTCTCTGTGCAGCAAACCGACACCGAGGTTGTTGATAACATTTAATCTTCTGTTTAATAATCAGGAAGACGCGCAGTTTTCTGTCGATCTGGCTGCCGTACAACAAAGACGTGACCTCGAGCGAGCGGCATTCATGTCCGGTCTATTGGATGCGGAACAACGTGCCTCTCGTCTCGTTCAGGAATTGCTCGATGAACAAACCAAAGCACATGCCACTGAAGTTGCCGACGATCTGGCCAGTCGACGTCTCTTGGACCGACCGGATGCATCGTTCAAACTGAGAAGGGAAGAAATGTTAGGTAGGTCTTGTGATCGGATAACCGCTTCGCTCTGTGCTTGTATACAAAACTGACATAGCTGGTTACTTGGATATCACCTTTCGCCAAATCTCTCTCGGGATTCCCAATGTTGCACTGTTTCGCTTTTGCTTCCGTTTCATTCTTTCGTTGTGGGCCGATCAGCTGCAATGGAACATCTGCTGGAGCAAGAGTACAAGCTCTATCACGGCCAGGTGCTTCAACGTGATTCTCTCGTCCAACACACCCTGGTTTTGGACACTTCGGATTCAGAACATGTCAATCAAGTGTTGGCTCGGCGATTGGCTGATCGGCAGAAGCTCTCTCAAGAATTAGCCTCGAAGGTGTGTCCTTGTACTGATGTGAATGATAAGAATA